GGCATTTAAGAAACAAAAACAACAAAATAAAACCCTGGTTAAATCTGGCTCTACAAACACATCTAAAAAGCAAAATAACAGTGGAATAGGATCATGTGCCTGAGAAATATGAGCCCGGGGTTGTGGAGGAGAAGCTTTCTTCTCAGCTGAGATGTCTTGTAGTTGTCAGTGGTGGATCATAGGAAATAAACACCACGGGGGGTTGTGCAGAGCCAGGCTGCAGTGGGAGCTGTGCTGCTCAGCCAGGACCAGGAGTAACCACCTATGGAACAGACTCCTTACCCAACCAATGCAAGTTCTAAGCCCTGGGCAAGACTCCATACTTGGCACCCTGAATGTTTAAAAGTCTCCCAAATCACCAGCCCTACAAGGGCCCCGAAAGCAACGCAATGAGAGAAACCATCTCAGCTGCTGCCAGTGACCAGCACGTGAGCTGGGAGGGCTCAGAGGAGCTGAGTCAGTCAGAAAGTCTCAAACGTTTGCTGCTGCTGCAAGAGTTCTTCCAACTTGAAGGCATCAGGAAAGCCACAGAGATAAACTAGGAAATACTCATGCCCTCTCCCCTCAGCTTCCCAGGGAACATATCCCTGACGCACCAGACTCTTGATGTGAAGCTTGTAGCATCAGGGAGTTTGGTCAACACTAATGTGACAGACTTGAAAGGAGAAGGGGGGAAGGAATTGAGAGAACTGGACACAAAATGGGACTGACAAACATGCAGGTGTCTGGCCAAAAAAAGCAAATCCATGTAGAGCTTCAGTGTGCAGAATAAGGATGCTTGTTTGGAAACCTGAAGAAGTAGCTTGAACACGTGTCCTCTGTGTCTCTCTCCTGCAGAGCTGTGAACATGAAATTGCATCCACAATCCAAGGTCCAAAGAGCAAACTGTGCCCTGGATGCCTGCTGCCAGCTAGCTTGGCTGGTCAGTGGTTGCTGTGGAGCTACAGACCAGTCTTCTGCTTAATGTCTGCCTGGGTTAGCTGGTGCTGCTGTGACTTTGTCCAGAGGTGGAAGAGTTGTCTGGATTTTTCCAGGCACTTCTGCTTCTGATAGCTGGATCCATACAAGAGTGTAACGAGTGTTAACAACTTGCTTGGAGTGACAGACACGGGATGTCCTGGGCTGACATCTCCCTGTCAGCTGGAAAAGCAGGAAATTGTGCCATGACTGGGTCAGTGTAATGCAGTGTTAATTTCTTCCTGAACACTGAGGATCTTCTACTGGGAGAGCTGACCTGGAGGTCCTGCAGGAGCAGAGGCCAGCAGCCTTTCAGCCAGCTGGATTCGTGGACAGCAAGAAACTCATGTTTCTCTTTACACACAGGAATCCCTGGGGTGTGGGAAGGGAAAGCAGAGGAGCTTTGTCTGATCCAGGGATGTATTAAATACACAGGCTGAGATATGGCAGGTGTGTGAGACACTTCCACAGCTCCAGCACTGGGGGAGGGAGGTAAGTCTCCATCTCTGCTACCACTGCCTCCAAAATCAGCACTTGGCAAGTTCTGTCTCTGCTCAGAACTGAATCTAACTCAAAAAAAAGTTTGGGTGACATTAAACTCCATGAGTGGGTCAGTTTTAAGTAGTAAAAAGTGGGGGAAAACAAATGCAGAAGTAACACCTACAGCTTGGCTAGGGAAGTGTTATTGGGAAGGGTAACTGCAAGGGACAGGCTGGCACCAGACCCAGTGATCTCTGACACACATGGTGCTTTCTTCCAGTTCTCAGTGCTTCTTGCTCAGACACATGGCTTCCTACTCCAGTTGGCAAATATTTGAATTATAAAGATTAACATGTTGCTAGCCCATGTGCTGGGAAGCTCTTCCAAGGGTTGTGTGAAAGATGTGCCTTGAGGGTGGCAGAGCAGGGTTTACTAACTGGTAAGGATAATGCTTCTTAAAATGCACCTGAGCTGATGTTTTCAAGTGACTGCATGCAAACATTATTGCAACCTGTTTAGAAACAGGCTCATCCAGAGTGACAGCACCACCCAAAATGCACAACAAAATGGGCCCTTTGCTCTGCTGCTTGTTAGAGAGATTTCCAAGCATTAAAGGACTTTGGGATTTTACCACCTAACCACCCTGAGATCAAAAGTCTCCTAGCACTGGATGGACACCTCTTAACTCTAAGAACTCTGTAATTTCTGATTTGTTTTAAGATGTAGAAGTGGAGGCTGTTGCTGTTGCCTTAAGGAGACAGGTGAGAACCTGGAGTATTTGCTTTGTGGGAATTAGTGCCCATACAATGATGAATTGCTAGCACCAGTGATGATGCCTCTGCTGCCATGGCAAGGAGCAAATAGGTGGCAGTGCCCACGTGTGGCTGCAGGAAACCCCCTGGAGAGCAGAGGGGTCCAAAGGAGCTGGGCTCTCTCAGGAGCCTGTGCTCTTTGGGGCCTTCCAGGTGTGGTTTTAGGCAAAAGGATAACAAGGTGCCAATTGGCTCCCACTTGCTGGCTGTGACTTCTCCTTTGAAACACCAGTGTATCAGTCTTCCAGAGTCTCTGGAGCTCTCCTTGATTCCAGCCAAAGCCCAGTGTGTGATTATGGAAGTTAAAACGTGTGTAGGTGAGGCTAGAAACTCGGGCAGGACTCAATGAGCACAGGAAACTTTTCTTCCCCTCTCTGCATGTTCACAGGGGATGGTTTATTTGTATGGTTGCAGAAAAGAGGAGTGATGCTGGAAGCTGTGAGATGGAGTCTTTCTAATGCTACCAGAAACTGCATTTAGTGCTGTTACAAAAGGTTGAATTCTGTCCAAGACATGGGCACACAGAAAGTACTGTCTGCTCGGGAGCTCTGATCACACCTAATCCAGCTGTAGGATCAAAAAACACTTTGAACTCTTCCTCTGAAGATCTTTTGGTGCAAACTCGGGCTCTGCCTCCTACCCTTTGCTCCTCGGACTCCGAGCAAGCAGGATCCAGACGTGGCCAAGCAGCAGCAAGAAGCAGACCCTTCCCCGGTGCTGCCCTGCCCGGGGTGCCCGCGGCTCCGGGTACTGCCCTGCCCGGGGTGCCC